GTACTCTGATTTTGGGCATTAAGGGAATCAATTTGTCGTTTAATTTTTATATTTCTGCTATGTTGGGTATATCGATTCCTTACAGATATAACTTAATATGTCTAATCATAATATGTTTTGTCATTAGTCTCTACGTAAATTATCAAGAAAAAAAAATGTATTAAAAAAATTTGACCGCGCTGACCCTGTTGATCGAGGTGGGACCAGGTGGTCAACTCATCCCTTTGGGCCAGGTCCAGGATCCCCCCTCATCCCTGAGCCCAGGGAATCCCCTAGGAGGCCCCGAGTCAGCCGTGCCCATCCCTAGCTATAACATTATAGAAATAATACTACTTTCGTTAAATTGATTTATTTTAATCATCATCGATCTATATGATAAATAAGAGTAGATCAAACATTTATAGTTCATAAAATTATAAGATCAAATTTAAATTTATTAATATATTTTTTCTAAAATAATAATTAATTTAAATTTAAACTTTAATTTAAACCCATGTTAGGAATTAAACTAAGCATGTTTAGTTTTATTAAAGTATTGTTAGTGTTATCTCTATCTCTATAAACTTGAATTTGTGTAGAGATTAAATATAAAAAAATTAAGATTTTAATTCTTGAATATTTTAATTTTATACTTATATAATAAACCCATTCATAAATAGGTTGGTTTGTAACCAGGCAACGGCCATATGTATCAAAATATCACTATTGAGGCTTATGAATTGTATGACTCAAATATAAAAAAGACCAATCTACTAAGCAAATCACATGGTTTGATACGATTATGACATGAACTTGTTTAAATTCAACTTCAACCAACTTAAATCATATAATCTACTTTTCTTGTTTATATGCGGTGAATAATTGACACATCGAACAATTATCACGTTGATTCGTAGTCAAACGACCCATCTGCTTTCAACCAACAATTATTTAATTTACACTGTGTCCAGCAGTATACCGACGGGCAACGATTTTTTACTTTGCTATCCGATTGTACTATTTATCTTAATGTTCTATTCTTGTTCATCTTTACTCTTTATAAGTTGCCTTATTCTACACTCTTTTCCCTTGTCAATTATGACTTTGTTAGCATGGAAATCTAAAATGGTAGATAAATGTAGTTTTTGTTTTTAGTATGTAATAAATGATATTATATGAGAAAATTTGTTGGTCAATAGTAGTGATAGAGTTATTTTATTGTTTGTGATATTTTTGAAATTATGGAAACTATATAAAATATGACTTCTAAATTTTGGAATAGATTTCAAAAGTAATTTATTGGGTCAATATCTGCATAATTTGAAAAAACAAAAAACTCAATTGATTAATGCTAATTGAATGAAAAAAATTGATGAGAATTGATGGTATTTATACTTAAAAATTTAATTGTATGTATACTTTGAAAAAATGAGTGCGTAGAGTATTTTTATGAATATAGATATCTCCACTCATAACAAACTAAATTAGATTTAAAAAAAGATATGAGGGTTAGTTGTTAAATTAATTTATAGAAGGCAACCTGAACACTGACGTAATTACATTTTTGCTTTTGAAAACACAAAATGAATTCAATCGAAGTGACTGAAATCATTAATTTAAATTTGATTGGTTTGAATGAGAATTATGAGATTAAGTGGGTTAATGGGAGCAATTTTTAATTGGATTAGATGAAAATTTTAATCCCTTACTAAATTGAATCTTTTTATTATTATCAAATAGGATACTAAGGTATATAGTGAATCAATTTATTGCAATCTATTAATTTAAAAGCTGTTATTAGGATTCAAATCAAATAATTGCATTTTAGTTTTTCTTTCAAAACTACTAGATTTTAATGGAAAAGTGACTAGAAATTCATTTTATAATTTCGAGATATTAGTTAATTTGACCATAAATTGGGGACTATACAAAAGTAACCAACTCCCCATTCCCTATACCTTATTAACCACTTGAAGTCATTTTCTCAATTTTGGCCTCAATATAAACTAACATATTTCACTCTTCCTTTGTTTTTTTAAAAAGTGACTTGGAGTAGTTTTTTCCTTCTTCAAATCTACCAAGCTTGAATCCGATAATTTTGTGTGCGTTGTGTAGTTTGAATCCGGAAAAGAACTTTGGAAAAGGCAGAATCGTACTTTTCAGCCGATTTTCGTTGATTTGTGCAAGAACTCTAGAGAAAGGACAATGAGGCAGAAGGTTATAAATTATAATTCAATTAGTTATATTATAATCCTTTTCTTGTGTTATTGACAAATCAAATTAGAGGCAGAAGTAGTGTTGTTTACAATACCTAAATCAATTGGTTTCAAGTTGCCAAGTTGGTTTTTGAAGCTGTTTCCAGGACCATGAGTTGGGTTGCGTCTCAATCCTTCCTTCTTTTCTTTACTCCTTAAGAACTAATCACCCGTTAATCGTCACCACTTGTGAGAAATCGTGATGTGCAAAGAACGGCTAATTGCAGCGTTACCTCTGATTAAAGGAACACGCGGGATTATGTGTTAATTTCTCTCACGCGGCAACATCCCCCTCTGAGCCCTCTCTCAGCAACACGGTTACAGTATTGCTTTGTAGCAGTCGGGTTCTGTTTCACTATCAAAAATCTTTTGCTTAAAACACTTTACAGATCAACACCTTTAAGATCTCCCACTTAATTAACATTATCCACTCTTTGTTCATTATGTCTCTATCAATTTCTACCTTGAAGAATTCGGCGCAGATAGATTTTTATTTAGCAAGCTTGTCGACACTAATTACTGCATCAATTGCATTAATAAAATTAATTTACTTACAGAAACTTTCTTAGCCATTATATGTACAGAACAATATTATATTAGTGTCTAATCAGAAAAAAAAAAAAAAAAATCAACAACAACAACAACAATAACGACCATACGACCCTGAGCTGAACGATCTTTCAACCATGGAAATTAGTTAATTGTATGTAAGCGGCTGATTAAAGTTGATTGTATGTAAGCGGCAAGGCTTTTAAAAGTTGGGATTTGTTTTTCTTCCGTTTTCCCCAAATAAGAAAGGATAAAAGGCTCCAAGCAATTGTTTATTGCAAGAATTCGCATTTATTTATTATATAATAGTAAAAATTAGGGTGTTTTTAATTGGTTACTAGAAGTTGGTCACTAGCAGGTTGGTGACTTAGCTTTCTCTAGATAGAATTTGTCAAGAGAGCGATCATATACAGACCAGAAACTATGTGCTTAAATCCCATCATACATAATGCCGCAGTTTGAATTTGAATTTGACGTGCTCTGAGCTGAGTGAGTAGGTACAGGATGGTGACTTCTCAAGGAGAAGTAATAGCAAGTTTAGGGCATACTCCAAGTTCTTTAGTTCAGCTTAAGGCAGGGTAATTCATAATTTATATCTACCATAAAACCCTTGCTTGGTTCATAATATAGTAAACTTCTAACATTTAATCTTGCACCACTCTGTCATATCAACAACCCTATGGTCTCATATATATTCGCATTTTTGTTCTTTATACGTTTCTCTCAACATACAATATCACTTGGTAGTGACGACACATGCAACAAAATAAAAACGTTTCATACTCTGATATGCACATATATTTATGAGAGGGAACAAATCATATTACAGGCAACTGTTATGTTACTCCCAAATAACATTGCTTAGGGTTAGCTACCATTTGATTATGTTCCACGGGTTGACCATTATTCTTGGAACATGATCCAAGGGGTATAATTTCTAGTTAACCGGTACCCTAGTATTACTCCATATGATACTATGGTGCTTTCAAATAGTTGATATATATTTTATTATAATGTTTTGATAAAATAGATATAGATATTTTGGAATAAGAAAGGAAAAAAAAAAAAAAATTGTAATCTTTTCTGAAGAGCAGCTTTGCCGCAAACTGCTTTCAATAGTTTGTAATTATAAATTCAATACACTAATGCTAGGCTTTTCAATATCTAAATTAATTTCTTAACTAGTTGTGTTTCAGTTTTATATTGTAGGAGAAAGTATTGAGTTATTCTGTAGTGTTTTCTACTTAAAGTGAGTTTATTTGTGGGAAAACTGAATATGCTGTCAATACAATGAAAAAGGTTAACGAGTACTTTCTCCTTTTTTAAGCATAAATAAAGCGAAATTTACTCTCAAAAGTAACACATGCATAGAAATGCTAATTTACCAAATGATCACGACCTTAGATATAATCTTATACTACATGTTTGTTGCTCGAACATGCTTGTTTTGATTCTACGCCATCCTTAAAGACATGGTCGCCCAAACAAAATTTGATTGGTCATTCTTCTGTCCCGTTTTACTCGGAAATTGATGTTAATTTCAGACCAATTAATTACACTGATTGATGAGTTTCTCTTCGAATGTATAGCTAGCAACGTTGATCCATAATCTTATTGAAGTGCAATATGTTAATTTATAATCAGCAACGGCACGTCTGCACATATATTACTCTTATTGAGAGAGTGAAGTAGAGCTAGTGAATGGTTATTTTTGACAACTTGATAATTAAGCTAATTAAAAATGACTTGCACATAGAGATGCTGCGTACGGGAAATAATGATTTTATAATTGATTGCAATGAATTAATATATATGTTGTAGAGAAGCAAAACCTTAGCACACAGTCACCTTTCCAACATCTCAAATTTTCTCTTACATTCTATATGTTGTCGTTTATGATCATCATAATCAAATCTAATTTAGATATTAAGTACTGCATAATGCCCCAAAATATCACTATTCTTGACGTTAAGATGGGCAGTTTTATTTTGCTGCAAAAACGCAGTCCAACCCAGATGTCCAACACCAAGCTGGCTTACACCCCAACCCTCCACACACCGCAGTTCATAGACAACTGGTTTGCACTTTACCACTTTTAACTTTGCTTATTCTTCTCTCTGCAGCCAAATTAATCCTTCCTCCATAAATGGCTTCTCCAAGCTTCCCCTTCAAACCCATCATCTTCCCGCCATTAATCTTAATATTCCTCAAAACACCATGCATTACTCAAAGTCCAACAAAAGTACTAGCCCTAGCAGCAGCAGCAGCAGTCGCAGCAATGCTTCAACTACTACTGGTGCAATTGCCACGACTGCTCCCGGTCGTCACCCAACTTATCGTGGAGTAAGGCGCCGGAGCAGTGGCAAATGGGTTTCCGAAATTCGAGAGCCGAGAAAGCCCAATAGGATTTGGTTAGGGACATTTGCCACTCCTGAAATGGCTGCAATTGCTTATGATGTGGCGGCACTTGCCCTAAAAGGCCAGGAGGCTGAGCTTAACTTCCCAAACTCGGCGGGTTCTCTGCCGGTGCCTGCCTCGACCTCTCCACGCGATATACAGGCGGCTTCAGCCTCAGCGGCGGCTGCTTTAGGGGCGGCAAAGGATGCTTTATTTGGGATTGAGAGTGAGGAGAGTACTAAAACTAATGTGATAGAGTCGGAGACAGAGAGAGAAATGATACAACATGAATTTGTGGATGAGGATTTGATCTTTGATTATCCAAATGTTCTTGTGAACATGGCTCAAGGGATGCTTCTTAGCCCTCCTCGTTTGGACATTGGTGGGGATGATGATGATGATGATGATGCCGATAATGCTGGAGAAGATCACAACCTTTGGAAATTCCCTTAATATTTCCTTAAATAATTAATATCTATAATAACACTATTTTCTCCACTAAAGAACAAAAAAACTAAAAAAAAAAAAAAAAAAAGAAAAAAGAGAAAAAAACTCTAATAAATCATAATATCTATATCTATATCTATATCTATATCTATATATATATATATGAAAACTTTAAATGAAAGAGTAGGGTAAAATTAATGTATTGCGTGTATCTGTGGCTTTCTTCTCTTTTTGTTGTTTGTACAGGAGTTTCTACGTTTTGGGTTTAATTGCTGTTGTCGCACCTTGCTCTAATAGCAATGCTTCAAGTGTTGTACAATGTGCAACTCTTAGAAACTATATAAATAATATAATTTTCAACTTTATATGAGTTGTTTTATCAGAAATTTTAATTTGTACTAGCATTAAATTCTATATCTATGCTCATATATAGCTAACAAATTTCTCATTTGATTATGTCATAAATATAAATAAATTGCATGGATATATTGTAAGCTTGAAGTGGTTGATTATGGCCATTAACTACAACCAACCGAAGTCGCCACTACCAACTGGAAGATGTGATATTTGTCACCATATGAAGAACTTTCTGGATATTACTTGAATCGCATCATTCATCTATCAACACCAAATTAATTTACAAACAGCCAGAGAATTCAACTCCATCTCTTTCTTTCCTCTCTTTTTTGTGTTCCTGGATGAATAGAACCGTTATATAAAGCGCTAAAGAAACCCTAAAATCGCATGATCAGTACTTCAAGTTAAGCAATAGCTCTTATAATTGAAAGGAGAGGAAAATAGATTTGCCTGGATGCTCAAATCTTTAAATCAGAGTTCAGTTTCAGTACTTCCCTAGAGATTTTTCAAAGCTAAGCAATAAGCAAACTAAGATAACATCCATGGTTTGGTGAAGAAAAAAGCAGGGCAAATTGGAGATTTAGTCAATTAGAATCATTATGACGTTGAAGTGATTAAGGGTTTTGACAACCTTCCTCTAACCATATAATTAACAACCATAATTTATATATCACTTAAGAGTCATAAACAGCCACAAAAATATATTACATGAACTGGAATGAAGGAAGTTATAAACATGGTCATTATGCTCCACATAAGCATAAGGCCCACCTTACCCTATGTTGACATGTTATTCTCAATCAATTGGTCTATCTCCACGTGTCACTCTCGTATTAGGTATATCCACTGTGGAATGTCGAGATCGATTTTGATATTTTACCTTCATTCGATGGCTGTCTCCTGCTCATGCAATCGTATTTATAATATTTAATATTTATTATCTCTAGCGGCCAAGTGCATCCACTATTTGCAGCAATAATAATAATAATAATAATAATAATAATAATAATAATAATGTTTTGTATCTTGTCCTATAATAATATATTATTTATTATTTATCAATTTCCTTCTCTTTTATTAAAAGTTTTTATTGGAAAGAATGATATCATCTACATGTTTGTTTGCTAAAAAAAAAAAAACTGTGATTAGTGAATTTTTAAAATAAATGCATAATATGGTAGAAATTGACGATCAATAAAGATAAAAGTGGTAATTAAATAAAGGTTTATGAATATATATTTTTATATTTATATTTATATTAATACACATGTCATTGAGAAATTTTGAGTAAAGACAGAGGTCATGAGAAGAAACTTTTTTGATCTAGAAAATGATTTACAATAATTTCTAAGTTGGTAATAAAAGAGCAAATCAAGATGTCTACATAACTTATATTAATATGCCGTTATACTTTAGACAAGGACACAAACAATATAATTCCTCATAAAATATGTTTTATAGGTTTAGTTTTAAAGTTAAACTTTTCATTATGTGGTGTTACAATGATGATGTATAAGAAATTATTGGATAAGTGGGAGTAGGAGAAGAGATGAGAAATCAAGTGGTATGCACAAACGAGTCGAATGCAAAACATGATACACATTTTGAATAGTTTGAAAGGTAGTAATAATAGCAATCAAAGGTCTGATAGGAAAGTTCATATGCTTTTTATATTCTGGATTAGACAAATTAGCTCCCATGTTCATCTCAAGTTTTTCTTCTATCTGATTTTTCTTTGTATAAATATACGGAAAAAAAAAAAGTCAAAAAACTGTATTTGTTCTTGGATTTTATTAGAAATATAATGATTTTTTTTTTTTTTTTTCAAACGAAAAATCAAAAATGGAAATTTTAAAGTAGCTACCATGATTTCTTAAATGGCTAAAGTCTTACAATATGCGAATTTCTAAAGAAAACAGTGCTATAAATAGAATTTTTAGGAAAATTTACGAAGTAAAATACTAAAATTTAGACATTTATCTAAGCACACGAATCAATAGATAAGAAAACATAACATAGAGTCAATACGAACTTTAATGATTTATGTCATTAAAGTTTGACTTAATCTTGCTCCTGTCTTATTGTTCTACTAATATTTAAATGGTCCTCATCCAATTAAGAAAAAGCTATGAAAACCCTAACTTTGGTAATGATCCAACTTTATTATTAAAATTAGAAAAAAATCTACCATATATTTGAAATACCTTGAACCATTCTCAAATTATACTATAAACTTGTTACTTGTCGAGGTTGTATAATTTGAAATTCAAATTCGATTTGTAATACTACAAATTAATGTAAGAAAATCAATAATATAACATAACAAATCAACAATACTCATCCAACAACACATGTCGTCACATCATTTTCTTCAATACAAAGCTTTATATAGGGGTCAATTTCTAATTCTGGTTAGATTGGTAATATTTAAACTAAACAATTAAATTGAACACTAACTCAAATCTATTTAGATTACACTAATTTAGATAGAGATAACACAATTATTATTTTGATAATTTATATCCTTAGTTTAATTCGGTTTTAGAATTAAATAAAACTTATTTCCATATTGTTAACGGTTTAGAATAACTGGGAGGTTGCGAAGACTTTTCCTGCCAAGTTGAATAGTCATTGTTGTGTACGATAGGGTGCTATGTTCCCCTGACTAGACAAGCGAAAGAGAATAATATGGTTTGAGTAAATTGCAATTACATGTGAGCAAATCACCTGGAGATGTATGAGCAATTTAATTGATACTAGTTAAATTGATGGGCAGCAGGCATTCCATTGATTAATGGGCAGAGTCAATAGAAGTAATAATTATGTAAAGCAATGATTTAAGCACCACGAAAAAGCTTAATTATAACCTTTATTGACAGTGCTTATGCTTGTTTCTGTTCATTCCTACGGATGACATGAGCTCTTCCCTATCTTGTTCAGTGCCTGTTTAATGCCCCTTTACTCCTGTCAAGAAAACTAGATTGTTACAGCCATGACACAACTGGATAGTTTAAAATTTATTCTACCTTAATTGTCTTTGCATTAATTAACTACCCATCACTCACAAGTTTGTTTTGTAATGATAATAAACACTTGTGAGCAGCGACTTCTAATTAGTGTAATTAATTAAGGTTCCTATTATGCACTAATTGGATTATATTTTCTTTAGTATATTATTACTGATCCTTTTACAAATTTGCCTTTGTGATGGTAACCCTTAAGTATATATATTAACTTAACATCAGTGATCATTTACTGGTCTATGTCTTGAACTTAGCTTATAAAAGATGTACAAACAGCATTACAAATTCATTGTAGACCTTAAGCTTAGCTCACAAGAAATATGTTCAACCAACAAATTTTTTAAATTAAGTGCTTTATACATACTTCACGATTTATTCAATAAATACATTTTTTTTTTTTAAGTGTTTTATACATGCTTCACGATTTATGCAGTTCTTCTAGGGTTCATTGTATTGCTATCTATTATAATTATTATTATTAGCCGTAGTTATGAAGTACTTAATTTATATCCTGCTGAACCGATTGATCTCTATGCAAAGTTTTATTGATGTACAGTAAGTGGAAAAGCCACTTGGATATTATCATGTACGTGTAATCAAATAATAAAACAAAAGGAGCTCATAATTTTACAACTCTTTCAATCATCAACATAGAATTGAGCAACTGAGTCTTCTGTAATGTAATGTCAACTTGATGTTTTTCCTGTTAATACACTTACCCTTCAATTAAAGAGATGGTAAATGTCGACATTTTTATCATATTTATGATCATTGTCAGCACCATGATTAGCCTCCTCCGAGCACAATAATAACTTGTAAAACTCGAAAATAATTGGAGGACTATTAGTAATATCTAGAAATGGCAATTGATAGTCTTTAATAATTGGAGGACTATTAGTAATCTTTTCTTCTATTATCGTTTATTTTTTAGCTATGAGATCAAGAAGGATAAAAGTTCTGCTCATTTATGGTAATTTTGATCTTCAATTAATATCTGAAAATTTAGGCAAAAAGCACACATATATTATTATCCTTTGAAATTTATGCACTCATTAATTTTTCAAATTTGGGTGATAAGAGATGTGCAATATAATTGGCAATGGTGAATGATGAGTGATTTCATAAACATGTATATGTAGTAAGGACACTAATCGCAAAAGTAATAAAATGATGAATAGAGTATCGTTCCCCCGAGGATTGAGTGCTAAATACCGATTTTCCTAATTTTATAACTAATTGATTATTAGATTTGCGGGAACTAATTAAAACTAAATTAAAACAAAATATAATAGACAACTAAAATTAACACAACAAAAGTAATTCAACAATGAATTTCAATTCAAGAAGAGAGGTTAGGGTTTGATTTCACCAAGTTACTCCAACTTAACCCAATAATCCTATTATCCTCAAATTCACATGCAAGGATTACAAATTGGGCACCCTAGATTGTAAAATATACCTTCTCAGACTATATTTCCCTACTTATCCCTATTAAACTTCCGCACCCAACAAAATGAAGTTCAATAGTTCAAAGTCCCTTAAGCAAATGGAATCCTATAAAGATTTCATAGATCGCGTTTGTCTATCTTTAGTTTTCGCTTAATTTATGGTGTTTATCTTAAGAAG